GAAAGCTGCCGTGCAGTCGTTAGCAAAAGCCCAAGTTGGAAACTGGCAAGCCGAAACCTCGCCTAGAAAGCCCGAGAAAAGAAAGTGAGGTTGAGTGTGTGCTGCCAGAAACGGTGCATCAGCGACGCTCTTTGGTGACCCGGTTAGACGGGCCCAGCTGATGTGGCTCCGGAAGAGGCCACTTCAAAAAGGCATCCGGGGGATGCAGCGTTACCGCAAAGCGGATATGCCAAAAATCGGAAAGCGAAATATGTACACGGTGCTCAGGCAAAAAGCGATCCGGGAGCTCACTCTGACCGTCCCAACGTGACAGCAGGTCGGCATCGTCATTCTTCTCGCCAGAGATGTGACTGCAGTCCAGCTGGACGCCCGTCACCGAACTCCACATTGAAAGCTTACGGACAAAAAGGTTAAGTGGGACTTCGGAGGTATAGAGGCGGTTGCAAACAGACTCAGCCCCTGTATTATCACTCAAAGCGGGAAGGGTCACTGCCAAGCGTCCGCTGCCTGAGAGCTTCCAAAAGCAAATAAGAATAAAGCATTGGGCCAGCGTCTCGTAGCTGGAAATGTCCAAGTTGGCGTTGGATTGCATGGGTAGGCCCAAGCTGGTAAAGTCTGAAACTGTGTAGCGGTGCGAGAACCAGGATGTTTTCCCATCCGACAATCGGAGCCAGCCTCCGACTCCACAGTCATTGCCTTTGCCGAAAGCGTCAGCGGCGGATTCCACCTGAGCGAGAGGGGCCGGACGAAGCGGTCGCGGTCGCCATTCTCGCGAGCTGAGGTAGAGGAAAAACTCCAAGGTTTCCTTGCTGGCGATGCTCAATTTTCTCCGTGAAGAAGAGGGGTCTGCTACCCGCATCCAAAGCCGCTTGGAACTGACCGGCACCTTATGCAAGTCAGCGAGGCATTTCAGCTCAACGTGGCGCGCCGAAAGCAGGGTGCTACCCGGCCGAATAGATGTCCCAGCAGGACAAGAAATGAAGACCATCTTGTCATTCAAGTGGGTGGAGATGCCTGGCCACGTCGTTGGAGGTATACTGACGTTTGTGCCGAGCGGACGGTGCATATCGTCATAAAGAGTGCAAAGCCAAGGGCGCAGTGCTGGGAAGCCGTGAAGAATCCACTGAAGCAACCCCAACAGCTTGTCCAACTGCTTTCTGGAAACCAAGCGGTGACCGAGGCACTCGCGAACTTGGGACTGCAGCTTGTTGCGCTTTTCCTCTGGCAGTGTGTAGCAAGCAGTCCCCAGGTTGAGCTGCCAGCCGATCCATGTGATGACTGGCCCCATTTGGAGTTTTTTCCAACTAAGCGGAATGTGAAAGCATGAACAGAATGCCAGCGTCAAGCAAGCTGAAAGTGGGAGTACCTGGGCGTTCTGATATAAAAGCAGGTCGTCCACGTACAAAAGCAGAACGTGTGGAATCCAAATAAGCAAGTGGAGGCAGCGAGTGAAAAAGCCGCCCAGTCTTGCAAACCAGTGGGATGAGAAAGTGGCCCCGAAGGGACAGACCTTGTAGAAGAATAAGCGGTCCTGTTGACGTAGGCCTAGCAGGCCCCTATCCTGTTCTCGCACACGGGATGTCTTGTGAGCGCCCTTGACATCCAAGCTGAAACCTGATACAGGCTCGTTGTCCTCCCTAAGTGGGTATGAAGCTTGGATATCTTGCAAGCAAGGAAGACTGAACTGCTCCGGGACTTTGCAATTTTGATTAGTGTTGCAGATACTGTTATCCACCACTAAGCGGGGAGAACGTCCTGGGGCTTTGACGATGTTGACTCTGCCCACTGCGACTCTGTCCTTACCCCAGCGGCGATATGCTTCCTCGATGGAGTCGACTTCCTCGAGGAACCCAGCGTTTAGCTCCTCTTCGATAAGCTCCTGAAGCAAAGCGGGGTCACTCTCAGCCCCCTGCCAGTTGCCTTCGCAGACCAAGAGCTCGTGGCCCTCATCCGTTTCCCCTTCTCGTCGAGGCCTCAGGGTGTGGCTGCGGGGGATGTCATCGGCAAACCCCGTGGGGACCCCTTGTGATAAAGCTGGAAAAAGCGATGTATCCTTGTCAGCAAGTATTGTACTCAAACGTTGTAGAGCGGAAAGACAGTACGGTTGACCTTCCGCTACAGAAAAGTCCCAGTCGGATGCTCCAGAAAGTCCATCCGAAAAACGCTTGAACGACGACTGTAGCCAAGCAGTCTCCTCAGGAGTGAAAAGTGGTTCGTTCCTGCCTGAAGCGATATGCTGTGTCAACCTGGCGGGTACATGTTTCTCAAGGAGCCAGGTGCGCCACTCTGTGCGAAGAGGCCTGAGCTGGTCTTCTGCGTACCTGGGGCCATAGGACCAATCGGGAAGCGAATAGATACCGCCACCGTCCTGCGCTCCAAACGGCGGGGTGTTTCGGGGTTTGACCTCAGTGCATGCGAGCGCAAACGAAAGTGAGCATGGGGTTCGCACAGTGCGGGAGGAGACAGCCCCAAAGAGCGGGGCAGCGATCGCTGTATATCGTTCAGCCAGTGCTGCTGGGTACTCCGCTGTCCTTTGTGAAAGAAAGCTTCCCTGAGCGTCAAGTTTGCCGGCCACTGACTCGTGGCCCTGAGGGTGTGTGCATTTGGCAGCCAGACCAGAAAATTGCGAAAAGCTGGAAGCGAAAAGCCAAGACTTAGCAATCGACAATCCAACTGAGCAAGTGGGAATGTCAGAGAGGTGAGCCTGGACTTCCGAGAGCAGATCCTGGACGAACGGCTCTAGCCAAGACATCGCGTTGGTAGGCTGCTCCAGTGAAATATGTCCTCCAGAGGCAAAAACTGCTCGCAGCAAGCAAACACAGCGGTATAGAATACGCTGGCTTTGTACAACGCGTGATTGCTGCTCGGCCGTGTTGTCGGGCAGCCCATTCAGGAAGCTGGGGCTGCGGATCGCTTTGGGGCCTCCGGGGCGAAGCTTCAGACGGGAGTATTCCTTGCAGGGCGGAGCCGCATGCGCCATGACAACTACCCCTGAGAAGCACAAGCGCATGAGCGAATCGTAATTCTTGTCGCAAAGGAGGTCGAGCGGTTCCTCGCCCAGGGCATCAACGCAAACGTGGTGTATGCCGGCTTTGCCCATGGCCACAGAAAGCGGTGCAGTGGCGCCGCAGCAGATATCCAGGAAAAACCCTGGGCTGATGGATGAGACCACCGGGGTGGAGGAAGGCTGAGGCGTCCCACCAGTTGGCTCGTCTCCTGGCAGTGGAAAACCCAAAGAGCGCAGATGCGCCCGAACATCAGCGGGAAGCGAGGCAGCGCCTTTGCAGGTGTAAGCTGTAAGCACCCATCTGTCGCCATGCCATGGAGACGTACAGTGTAAACTGGAGCAAGGGAAGGAGACCCCCGACTCGAATGTGTCAACTTGCTCCCCCAGTGTAGCGGCGCCCACCTTGTGCGTCTCCGACTCCGATCCTTGGGGCGGAGGAACAAGCGCTGCTGAGCTACGCAAAGCGGGGGTAATCCAAATTTCACCCCCTGCGAAGTTGCCCAGTGAGACGGAGTGATTTAAGCTGTCCACCTCATTGCCCGCGTCTGTGTGAAGCTGCGTGCGCACATTATGACTCACGCAGACAGATGTCCAAGAGGCCGAGGGAAACTGCAAGCGGAGAAAAGCGTTCAAAAATCTTGCAATCTCGGAGAATTGCTCAGTCCTCTGGAAGACACCATATCTGCGTCCATCATCAAACCCAAAAGCCCCGAGGTTGAAATAAGCGTCCGACTGGGTAACAGCTGGATCCTTAAGAGCGATCGCGGCTTTACTGGAAAAGGATTCCTCCAAAAGCGACAAGCAAGTGGGGAAATCGAACTGGTAGCTCGCGATGGCCCGGGCCACTGGAGAAACCTCAGAATCAGCGGCATGTGGAGAAATGAGATGCCCTTGCGAACCAGATGGCCGAGCTGGCACGCACAGCGAGGTGTCATCAACCACCTCAGCCTCACCTCGCGAGGGGCTGAAGCGGGCAACCTAATGCGCCATGCCCACATGCTGGGAAGCGGGGTGATTACCCCCGCAGGCTGTGCCGTCCTGTTTAGGCACAGCGCACTTGTGCACATAGCGGCAGGAGGCGGGGTCCTTGCACTGGCCACTTTGATAGCGCATGCACAAAGTGTGCTTCTTGCCCTCCATGAATATTGTGGACAGCCACTTGCCCTGGGACGACTGGCTGTTCTTTTCGCCCCCTTTGTGGGAAGTTTTGCCTTTGCCTCCTCTTTCCAGTCGCTCAGTGGGGGTATTCTTACCATCGCGGCCCTTGCCCCCGCGACCCGTGCCCTGCGAGCCCCTGCCTCGGCCGGTTTGTCGGTAGCGCCACTGTTCCTGGCCTTCAAGCAGGCGTTTGCTCACGTGTGGCCGGGGTGCAAGCAGGCTGGCCAGATCGGAGCGCACCTCCGACACCTCATGTAAAGCATCATCGAGTTTCCAAGCGTGCTGATTGACAAGGTCCGACAGAATTTCCCAAGCCCTTTTGTCCGCGGCCTGGGCTTCCAGGGATGTGGGACCTCGCAAGTTGGAGGCAGGCTCATACTTGGTAAAACAAAGCTGGAGGAACTTCTTGTTGTACATCTTCAGAGCCCCCAGGTGAGCACCTTGGCATAAGGCAATCGAAGTGGATGCGAGCGAAAGCATCTGGCTAATGAAAGCGTACGAAGCCGGGCCATCATGAATCTCTCTGGTGGGGGCATCGTCCAGCAGCAAGTCGCTGAGCTCCGATATCCTGGGCTGCTTCTTTGGGCGAAGCAGCAGGTTGTCATCCTGAGACTTGGAGCTCAAGCGGAACTTCCAAGGCAGCCAGCGGATTTCCCTGTCCGCAACCATTTTGGAGGTAAGCGCCAGTAAGCGGGATGAGGGAAAAGACTCCGAATCTAGCAGTTCTGTAGGGTAGTCCTCCTCGAAGCGACGCCGCAGTGCCGCAGTTTTCTCTGGGCTTAGCTTTGCCGGCCACGACTCCTGCCAGCCTGAGGAAGCTGGGGCCGGAGTCGTCGTTGTAGCGAGCTGTGGAGTTGGATTATTCACCGGGGCTTGGGGTGTCGCATGTTGTTCAAGCGAGGGGAGAGCTTCGGCTGAGCGGCACCTGCTAAGAAGAAGCCGTAGCGATGCTTTAGCAAGTAGTTTGCTTGAGTGCTCGACCAGCCCACTATCAGCACAAAGCTGGGATATCATCTCTTCGGCTTCGACGTGACTGGTGCAGCAACGTGCGAACGTGGCCACCTCGAACTCCGACAGCAGCTGCAGGACCTCAGTAGGAGCGCTTGCCTCCAAGGCCAGCTGGGAGAATTCCGACATAATGCAGACCTGCACCAGGATGCAGTAAGCGGAACAGCTGCCAAAGTTCAAGAAGCTGTGTGCGCGGCCTGAAGGGAGGACCTCGTACAGGTTAGTTGCCCAACAACCCGGCGAGAACAGCGTTGACCCCTCGGTTCCGCAGGCTGAGGGCTGAGCAGACTCCGGGACCTGAGGCAAGCGTAGTGAAAGCTTAGCCAAGCGGGCGAGACCTTGGGCCTGCGAGGGGCGCCAACGCGGACTCTTTTTGAGCCTCACCCTGTTTCCCCCCCCAGCGGGAGAGGGAGACTGAGCGCAAAAGCTGCAGGAAGCGGGTTCAGAGCACAAGCGGACCATGTCGCCGAATCATATGGTGCATGAAAAATCGCGGCACAAGCGGTGCGAGGCAGCTGGGGGGTGTTTTGCACACAAGCGGGAAAGCGGTGCCCTGACTCCGATCACGGTCCCAATGGACCTATTCCGTACAGCTGGCTGTAGAGCTGGTAGCGGTGAGAGCAAAAAGCGGGTTCGCCCAACTAGTTCCAGCTGTGGTTCCAGCCGCTGTCTTGTTGCCAAGCGGGCTCATCCCAGCTGTGATCGTCCCAGTGGGGGTCATCCCAGCCTTGGCCATACCAGCTGTTGCCCCAGCTCGAGGACCCTTGCGAAGCGGGCCAGGAAGCTGGGGTGGATGCCGCCTGGGAACGTTGGCGTTCCTGCTCCACCTGCTGCGCGGCCTGCTCGCGTCCCTGGGCCCTCTTGCAGTCGCGACACAAGTGGGTCCCGTGGTAGGTCGACGACCGGTCCGCGAACGTCGCCTGGCAGTGGGCATTGCCGCAGCGGGAGCAGACCCTCCTGCAAGCCCAAAGCTGGACAAGCTGGAGGATTGGAGTGCCTTCCCCGTCGTTGATGGTGTCCCCGACGCGGGAAGCTGGGGCCTCAGCCGCCAAAAGCGGAGCACGGGTGCTCCTATCGGGGACCGGCGGGTCGCTGCGGGGACCCGTGGCCTGGGAAGGGGGGTCCTGCGTGGGAGCAGTGGCTTGACGTGTGGGACCCGAAGGTGGCCCGGTGCTTGCCGCGTCAAGCACAAGTGGGGGAGGGTTGGCCTTGGGCTGGGCCGCTGTCGCAGCAGGCTTGGCGTGTGGAGCAGCGTCCCCTGCACTCTTGGGCGCAGCTGCGGTGGACTTGCCTGGGAGTCCCGGCGGTGCTGTAGTTGTAGCTGCAGTCTGCGCGGAAGCAGCGGTGTGATCGGCCGGGGGTCTTGGTGGCGGCTGCTTCTGTGGCACTGTCCCCGCTTTGGCACCTTGCGCCGGGGTTGTTGAAGGTGGCGTCGCGGTGGAAGCCCTGCTGGTGCCTGCCGCGGTTGGAAGCCCTGTAGCTGCACCATAATCCTCCATAGGCACCGTGTCGGCAAACTCAGGAGGTCCTGTAGGAGGTGGCAGCGGCGGCTCCTCGGCCGGCGTAGCTGGCTGTGCTTGGTCCTCCGGTAAGGTTGAGGCCGGTGTTGGAGTGGAGGTCGATGTGGCCCCATAGGAGGTGTTACCCGCGGCGCTCATAAGCGAAGCGAACTTGTCCCTCTCAGACTCCGGCATGGACTGGAGCAAGCGGAAGACATAGTCCCCGGAAAGCTTCGCCATTGTCCACGAAGGCAAGAGAGGGCTGCTGCGCATGGGGGAAAGCTGGGAGTCGTCAGGGCTACAGCGGACAAGAGAATTCCCTGCAGACTTGTATAACTCGAAGAAGAAAGAAGCAAGTCCGGCACCTGGCAGGTTTTCCGTGCAACCCGAACGACTCAGTCCGTGAAAGCGATTACGCAAGCCCTGCGTCTGCACAAGCGGGCCTTGGGTGGAAGTTCCACCGACGCGGAAAATTCAGAAATGCAACCACAAGCGGGATAGCGACGCGCGGTGCATGATTCCAAGTTGCAAACCAAACAAATCTTACGGGAGCCTGAATGAATGATTGATGCATGTGCTATCCCCGAAGAGCTGATCAGAAAGCGGGCTGAGGCACATGCCGGGCCTGGTTGCAGGGGTGCCTTGGGCACGGCCCTGTCAGACAAGGGGAGTGTTTCCTCCCCACGCCACGCGGGCGCGACCTCTGTCAGGGTCGCGTCTGCAGTGGACACTTCCGAAGCGTTAGGTTCCTCGCCATCGGAGTCCGCAAAGCTGGGCACCTCAGACATGACACGTACACAGCGGGGAAGAACTGGACCTCGGCCTGGTCCGGGTTCAGAAGCTTGAAGTGCCTCTGCCAGATCCTGGTCTGACTCCTGCAATCGAAGAAACGTGCCTGAGTCATCGCACAACTGGAAGCAAGTGGGACGGTGCGTCTCAGAGTGCCACTGAAGTGTCCCAAGAACCACTGTCGGTTCTACCAGCGGCTGCTGGCCACCCCTGTGCTGTGGGCAAAGCGGCCGGAAACCACCGTGCAAGGATCGCCAAAGGAGAAGCTGGGCTCTGAGTGCGGGCCAGATATCATCTCGCGAGTAAAGCTGAGCCGACCCCGGGATCTTGTGGTGGCCCTGCAAAAACCTAGCCGAAAGCGAGAGGTTGAGCTGAGCCATCCAACTCAAGTAAGTGGACTTCATGCTGTGGAGCGTGTACTCTCCCACCTGCGAGGCCGGCACCGCTGCCTCAAGCAGCAACTGGCGCAAGCGGCATAACGTCTGAGCATAGGAGGCCGGCGCGAAACCTGACTCACTAGAGTGGAAGAATAGGCAATCGGGTACCAATTCCTGACCGAAGCTGGATCGCAAACCTGTCCAGACACTGTCCAAAAGCAAAATCCAGCGGGAAAGCCAATTGGAACCCCACTCTTCCGAAGTGCTGTAAAGACCAAAGCCAATCAAGCCAAACGGTGCCCCTCTGGAAGTGGTCTTAGTGCGGTAGCAAATGCCCCGAAGCGAGAAGGCGCTGGGGCAGAGCGAGGTCCAGGCAACGTGTTGCGCGTCCGCAAAGCGGAGACTGGCACCAATGCATGTAAGAACACTACCACAGAACAATGCTTTCTCCACCGGGGTGTCAGGGGATAGCACCTGCCGCTCCAGAAATGCGTGGAAAGCCAGTGGCAGTGGAACGCTCTCTCGCTTCTCTTTGCTGGGGCCCGATGCCAGTGTTGAAAAGGCCGGACTGTAGAGGTCCGGGAGAATCGATAAGCTGAGGAGCTTGCGGTACCAGCGAAGTGCCTTCAACACGTTCTGGGCATTTGAAAGTGGGCCATCCTCAAGCGAACGAGAAAGCGCAAAGAAAGCATCAAGGAACAGGCCCTGATCAACCTCGTCCAGGGACCCGCCCAGCTCCTCAAAGGTAGTGAAGAAAAGCTGGACCGATCGTAGGTACCTGGCCGCAGTTGTGTCGCTAACCTTGGCCAACAAGCGCTTGCGTATGGCGTCGCCACGTTGACTGGCCGCAAGTTGTGAGAGAACCTCGCTAAAGCGGCCGTGGGCATCACATAGTGCCTGGAAGAGGGCCTCATTTCGAGACCTCTTGACCTCGTGGAGGTCCGAGGACTTCGTAACGGCCGGCCTCAAAGCTGTGTCCACCTTGGGTCTAGGCAGAGGTTCCCAGCTCCCTGTGACCAGCGTAGTAGCCCTGGGAAGCGGTCGGGGAGTCGGCGTGCTGATGGACTCCTGAATCACCGAGCATGAGTGCTTCGGGTAGGCAGCATACGCTGCCGCTGCCTTGAAGTTGGGCAACGGCTTGGGCCGTCCCGGCGTGGGGAAGTAGCTGTGTTGAGTCGGCCGAAGCTGAGAGCCGGGCCGAGGCGGAGAAAAGCATGCCACAGTGCTAGGCACCGGGGCACGAGGTGCCTTGCCGGGGCAACCCACTCTGAATGGGGAATTATAGCGCAAACATACCGGGGGAGGCGACCACGGGGATGCCTTACTCAAATGCCGTAAGCTGGGTCGAGGTCGCGTAGATCCCGAAGGCATAAGCTGAAACTGAGTGGAACTCCCCGGAAAGCCCTGCCCCGGAGCCGACGGCGGATCGTCCTCCTCGTCGGCAATGCAGATAACTTCCCAAGAAGATTTACCTGGAGAGGACGCGAGGTCGGGGTTAGCGGTCAGGAGGGGGTTCGGCGAAGAACGGCTCCAGCGTCTGCGAAACTTGTTGCGGGAGGGTGTTTCCTCATTGGAGCCTTCGTCAGCGGGAGGCTCGCCTGACGACTGAACTGGCAGACCTTGCGCGAAATTGTCAAAGCGGTCCTGAAGAGAGGCCAGCAGCTCAGCCGACGGTGATGCAAACACCTCCGAGTCAGCCTCGGAATCTCCCTCCATACCAGCGTGACCCGACAGTGGCTGCCGCTGCCAGCAGCCGCGCAAGAAGCAAAGCCGCTGAAAAGAATGCCGAATCCATGTACCAGGCGAGAAGCTGAACAGCAAGCCTATGTCTGCAAAGTGACATGAAAATGCAAAGCTAGAAAGCTGGAAGCAAAAGCTAAAAGAAATTTTAGAGCGGAATGCG